TAAAACACAAAGCAGATGGGTCGATTGAAAGATACAAACCTACACTAATGGGCAAAGGGTTTACTCAAACCTATGGAGTTCAACTACCAGAAAATCTTCGCACCTGTCGCAAAAATAAACAAATCAAAATATTACAATCCTGTGTTAATCTTGATTAGGACTTACACCAGTTTGATGTAAAAAATGTCTTCCTCCATGGATTAAAGTAGTCTCTAAGAACATGATTCGAAATGTTCAGAAAAGCTATAATTTCTTTCGCATATCAGCAAAATAATGTTGATCATACCCTATTTATCAAGTATTGTGAGAGTATGATCACTTTTCTCATTCTTTATATAGATGATATTGTGGTGACTGGAGATGATATAAAGGAGATGACTCGATTAAAGGGATTTCTTACTCGACAATTTGAAATTAATGATCTTGAAAAATTGCAATATTTCCTGAGAATTACGCTTGCCAGATATTTCTCAAAGAAAGTATATCATAAATTTGCTAAAAGATATTAGTATAATGGATTGTGAGCTAGTCGAATCCCCTATTGAAAGTAATCACAAATTACAAGCAGGTAGTGGTACAGCAGTTGATATTGGAAGATATCATATATTAGTTAGAAAACTCATTTATCTCTCACATACCAGACCAGATATAACATATGCAGTTAGCCTGATGAGTTAGTACATGCATAATTCTCGTGAGACTCATTTACATGTCGTCTTTCGAATACAACGACATCTGAAATCTACACCAAGAAAAAGTTTACTCTTCTCCCAAAATGACCACTTTAAGATAGAAACATTTACAGATGCCGATTGAGCTGGATCTCCTGATGATAGAAAGTCAATTACCGGTTACTGCACATTCGTTGGGGGCAACTTAGTTACATAGAAAAGAAAGAAGCAAAATGTAGTTGCCCGTTCTACTGCTGAAGCAGAATATAGAGCAATAGTACAAAGAGTATGTGAATAATTATGGGTACAAAAACTAAAGAAGAAAATGTATCATTATTTTGCGATAATAAAGCAGTTATTAGTACCGCTTAAAATTCAGTTCAACATGATCGGACAAAACATCTTGAGATTGACTATCACTTCATAAAAGAAAAAGTGGTTGATGGCTCTTTATGCTTACATCACGTCTCTTCTAGCAATCAGGCGGCAGATATCTTCACAAAAAGACTCTGCACCAAAATTCTTCACAACTTGATATGCAAGTTGGGCATGTGTGATATTTTTGTACCAACTTGAGGAGAAGTGTTGACACAAATATTTTGTTACCTAAATGACCGTAATATTTTTTTCTATATAGTCCTACCAGTTATTTTCTCCATAACGATGTAATTATTTAGAATCTTTATTATAAGGAAAATTTCTCTATTTGTATTTAGAAAATTTTGTATATATATGAGTCAGTTGTAACACCTAATTGTAGAGAAAAATAAAGTATAAATATTTTTCCCAAATTTCTATAGGTTGCCTCATATTCCCTTGATGTTTTTCTACCTAGCTTCTGTAGAAGGTGGGAAGAAAAAGGAACCAGGTGCGCTATAGAGAGGAGCTATTTTCAATAGTTTATGAGCGTTGTACTTTGAAGTAAAATGCTAGGCTTTTTGGATGTCGTTATAATCATCCCTCTTTTGGGACAAAATGACTTTCCTTGCTGCTTTATGGACCAGGGCTCATGATTATTTTAGGTATATCTCTTTGGCTATGTTGCAAAGGGATTTAGAGGCTTTATTTTAATGTTTTTCTTCCCCTTTTCTTTATCGTAGGAGGATCTCTTCTCCTCTAATTATGTACTCTTCTCTCTTCTCTATAATACTGTGTTATGAATGCAAATATGGAAATCGCAACAAGAATAAGAAATTGACGTTTAATTAAATATGAAATCCTAATTAGTATTAAATTTGTAAATAGTTGTGTTATATTCTCTGATTAAGGATCGAGTCACCAGGTAGTTAACAACAAAGTCATTTTCTATTAAAACGCTAACACCTTTGTTTTTATTGCAAGAGCGACCTATTTTATGAAAATAAATTACAGTTCAGTAAAAGGAACTGCTACCTTAGATCTCGTTAAAGAGAGCTCAAATCTTATAGTTTATAATAATATTCTGATTTACCTTTATTAATATGAAGCATAACCCTTTATATAGAGGTTACAATTCTTATCTAGAAATGTTAATGTAAATTGAAATTTAAATCTAATTAGAAATACTTTCCTAACATATTGGAAATCCTACTATTTAGGAATTAAGTACTAACGAAATATATATATATTATTTAGAAATCTAATACTAATTAAAATTCTAACTATTTAAAAATCTAATACTATTTAAAATTCTAACTATTTAGGAATCTAATATTAATTAGAATTTCATATTTAATTAAATATCAATTTTTTATTCTTGTTGCGTCTTCTATATTTGCATCCATAACATTACTCACCCCTAGTTTTTAAGCTTGTCTTTAAACTTGAATTGTGGATACAGCTGCCTTGTTGGTCTTTCCTTGTTGCTCAGGATCAGTGTCACGTTCAATCTCAAGCCAAAACAGTTGTTTACATTAGTGACTCGAAACAAACGGCTCATCACAATTATAACACAATCCCTTCAATCTCCTTTCTGTCATCTCTGTCTTTATAAGTTTCTTTATAAATGGAGATAAATAATACCAAATTGTATCGTGAAGTTGCTACCCTTTTGTGTTTTCTAAACTGAATTGTTAGGCCTAGTAACGGACTGAAAATGATCATTATAATTGTGTTCAGTCATATCCCACAACTGTTGTATCCTTTCAAAAGCTCTGTTCATACTCATTGCGTGCATAAGAGTGGTGGATGATTGCATCTCAACTTCCAGCCTGGCTGAATCTACCAGACCCGCAATAAACATGTCAACTTGTTGATCTTGTCGTACTTTATGAGCACAGGCCAAGAGTTGAAACTGTCGTATATAACCCTCCACTTTGTCTGTTTGTTTTAGGTTGATTAACCCTCTTAATGAATTGTTCTACATGGGCAAACCAAACCACAATATCCAGAGTTCAACAAACTAACCCCATCACATCCTTGTCTCCTCCTGTTACCGTTTGTAGTACCAAAGTTGAGCATCGGCTAACAAATGGAAAGTTGTCAATCCAACTTTGTCATTATTAGCCGTTCTTTGATTAATAAAAAATTGGTCGCAACGATGGAGCCAAGCTAACAGGTCATCCGATCCATCGCAGGTGGGAAAATCAAATTTTGTATAACGAGGAATCCATCCGTTGTTATGGGAACTGATGCTGGATTCTTTGCGCCCTGATTTAGTGTGTCACCTTTCCCCTCCCTGATTTTAATTTGAACTACCGTTGTCAGTTTATACATTATCAATTTCTTCTTTTTCTTGGACTTGGTCGGTTCAGCCGAGAAGAAGTTTTAATTGCTGCGTGATTTGGTGCAAACTCTTTTTTGTTACAGTTTCAGAAGCCGTAATCCGATATTCTAGATTCCACAACTCTTCGCGTAAACTTTGATTACCCATGGTGCCTTACTCTGATACCAAATTGTTTTATTCCCTTATTAAGGATCGAATCACCAAATTTAACAACAAGGTCATCTTCTAATAGAGCGTTAACACCTTTATTTTTATTGAGAGCACAAACTATTTTGTAAAAATAAATTACAACTCATCAAAGGAAACTACTATCTTGGATCTCGTTAAAAAGAGATTCAATCTTATAGTTTAAAATAATATTCTGACTTATCTTTATTAATATGAAGCATACTCCTTTATATAGAGGTTATAATTTTTATTTAGAAATGTTAATCTAATTTGGAATCTAAATCTAATTTAGAAATATTTTACTAAAATATTGAAAATTTTCCATTATTTAGGAATCAAGTACTAATAGAAAATATATATATATTATTTAGGAATATAATACTAATTAAAATTTTAACTATTTAGAAATATAA